TTTTTTTTTTTAATTTTTTTTTTTTTTTTTTTTTTTTTTTTTTTCATTCTGCCTTTATGAGAGCACTTTTGTTAGAATTTATATTTCTTGGTCAAAGTCATCTTCTTTGAACTATCTGTTTCCATTGGTAACAGTTGCTGTCAAATTCTTCACCTAAAACTACAAGTTTCTGTTTAATCCTAATACTTTTCACCAATATGCAACTATCAGAGATATAAATCTGCTGGAGTGGACACTATTGTCTTAGCTGGAGCTGAGTACGGAAGTGGAAGCTCACGAGATTGGGCTGCGAAAGGCCCAATGTTGTTGGTGAGTCTCTGTTATGACTGCTAGTGTTACTAGTTTTTCTTTCCTCTCATTCATCCTTTTCTTCATCATTTTCATAACAGGGAGTCAAAGCGGTGATTGCTAAAAGCTTTGAAAGGATCCATCGCAGTAATCTTGTTGGAATGGGCATTGTTCCACTATGTTTCAAGTCTGGTGAGGATGCAGACACGATAGGATTGACAGGTCATGAGCGTTTTACAATTGATCTTCCGAGCAATATTAATGAGATCCGACCAGGTCAAGACGTTACTGTCCAGACTGACACTGGGAAATCTTTTACATGCACTGTCCGTTTCGATACTGAGGTGAGTTGCCCTTTGTTTTCTATTTGTTTATCCCATTCTTACGAGGTTTTGGACTATAGATTTGATTCATAAGATTTATGTCTATCACGATATGATATTTTCCAGGTGGAGTTGGCCTATTTCAATCATGGAGGCATACTTCCATATGTTATTCGACAATTGACTAATCAATAAGGATTCATATTTCTTAGTTGCCAGTCGTTGGTGAGTTTCCTCAATTGTAATTGTGAAGAGAATAAAAGTTGCATTTCTTGTATCCTTCTACACGGCGGAGATTATCATTATTATTGCTTAGTTGAACAAGGCAAGTAATTTTGGTTTGCCTACACATGGAAGTGTATCGTTCTTGGTAATAAAATTGTTGCCTCTATGGAGGCTAATTTATTAGTTATTGGATGATCTGCTCTATCATGGAAATTGTCGTCAAAGTGACTTCTGATAATTTTGTAGTTCGAATTTTATAATTAGTAGTGTTGGGAAATTAGAGTGGCTTTCTGGACAGCCTCTAATCCTTCAATTTCGACTTGGCAAATTCATAGATTTTACGTAAGAAGTGGTGTAACAATTTATATTACAATTCATTAGATTTAAAATTTACATTTACCTCCAAATTTCGTCAAATCAACGGCTAGTACAAAGTGCTACTTAAATTGTACGATTTCAGTTACACTCACGAACAGAGCGCCACTCACTGGTTTCATCGCAACCACGTGCATTCCTCTTCCCGCCAAAACCAAAAATAAATTATTAATCTGAAAATATGCGGACAAAATATAGATTTGGTCCCTTAAGTCGCACAGGAATTTTGTATTGGTCCCTAAGGTTTATTTTATTCCAAATAAATCACAGAATTTCTTGACAATTCAAATCTGGTCACCCTATACCACATCAGATCCCACCGTACACTGTTAACATTGCCATGTACTAATGGAACATTTAATTCTATTGTTATGTAAGCCTAAATCATGCTAAAAAAATGATTGACTTACGAAATGAAACAAGTTTTAACTTATTACTCAAATTTAGCCCATTGTTTGGTGATGATTAAAATAAGATTTTTGTAGTTTTTTTTTTATTTATAAAAATTGATGTAGACGGTAGATTCTACAATCAAGTAGCCAACCAGCAATCCTACGAAACTCAAAAAAAAGAACTAAGGAAAACGACAGTAAAAAGATCTTAAGAGGACACCGGTGTGGTGCCGGCCGAAGACTCTCTGACGGTTAAGTCTGTGAAACTCGTCAAAAGTTGAATAAATGCCACATGAAAAGAAAGAAGAAGTGAATTAGAGTAGAGTGGGTTGAGATATCTGAACGCTTAACTGACCATGGAATTTATAGGAGTGGGATACCATCTAGGTGGGATTGGTGGGGTTTTTCTGAGATTTCGTGGTTGGTTAGAGTTAAATCTAATTCGATCTGTCTAGTTGAGATAACTCTTATTAGATCTGGATAAGTCATAATGCAATTTATCTTGAAGATAAATGATTGGAGATTTCGAATTGACATGTGGATTTTGTACTGTATATTCAGATTGATCGTTATAATGAGTTGGGCCAAGGATGGCGTGGATTAGACCATCTGTGGACCCTTTTATGGTTTATGCCGCTTGGACTAGTAAATTAAATTTTACCACTACAGTCGATGAGATGTGTGGTTCAAAAATTGTGAATTCAATAAAATGTCTAGTTCAAATTAACTGTTGATTTTGACTTGGATTAAAATTAAAATTTTAATTTCGACCAAATAGGGGCTTAATTTCAAACTCTAATATTAGCTAAAACGAGCTTCGTGATTTCGTCGTCCCATTTTTAACATAAGTAAGGCTTGCGTGGAAATGAGAACAACGTCCACTTAATATTGTACACATACTAGTTGAAGTTAATATCATCAATAGAATTTGGAAGCGATAAAGAAATTCTAGTGACAGATTTGTAACAACATATACTTTAAAGACCAAATCGAATTTTCATCGGAAATATAAGGACCAATATTTAAACCTTGAATTGCACTCTCCTTTCAGTTTTTCTTCCTATAAATACCCCTCATCTCTTATGCAATCACGTTACGTACTTTCACTCTCTCTCAATTTTCGACTTCTCTAATCTCGTTCGAATTCAAATACCACTTCATTTGAGCAGAAGAAGAAGCCATGAAAGGACCTAAGAACGCTGCCATTGCTTCCAAGAAGCTCGTCATCACTGAGTAAATTCGCTCGCTGTTTGTATCACACAAACAATTGCATGTTCTTTTGTTTTGTTTTGTTTTGCTTTTTTTCTGAAACTTTCAAATAATGCGTTCAGTTTTAACTGATCTGATTTTATTTCTAAATCGAGTTTTCACCAAGTTATTTAAGTAGTTTTTGTTGCTGTATCGTTTATATCTGTTTTAAATTGTATTTCTCTCTCTTTCTCTATCTCTTTTTTATTATTCTCTGAAAATATGGAGTAATGTGTTCAGTTTGTTACTCTGATTTTCATTTCTCGTTCGAAGGAGATCACCTCTATATTTAATTTCGTTGTGTATCTCGAATCAATTAGCGTACTCTGTTGTTTTCATTATATGATCTAACTAATTAAAAAGCATTCGTCCCTTTTGATTTGATTTGACTATCGTTTTTTGCATTTTGATCGTGTTTCGTGGTATTTGTTCGGTTGGAATCAACAATTGCATGTAACACTGCAAGTTTGATAGGTAGTTTCTGCTGTTTTATTTTCTTATTTGTATTTGTCTTATCGTTCAATTATGCTTTTAATGTTTTGCTTATTTTACTCTTTGGAAATTTCAAGTGATTCGTCCACGTTTAGTTGCTCTGATTTTAATTTCTTCTTCAATCCGTGTTTTCACCTCCATCCTAATTTCCTTGGGATACTCGAAGCAATTATTGTATTCTGTTTTTATTATAAGGCTCAACTATTCAAAAGCATTCCTCACATTTGATTTGTTATAAATATCGTGCTTGCGTTTTGATAGTGTTTTCTGGTATTTGCTTGGTTGAAATAAGCCACTTCACGATCTGCTTGCAGTTTGCCTCAGAATCGTTTTCTTCCTTGAATCAATTTTGTTAATGTGCAGCTGATTCTTTTGTTTTGGTTTTTTGGTTCGTATTATCTATTTTCTAATTATGAAAGGACAAACAAAAAGCGCAAGGCTGATTTGAACTCATCAAAGAAAGAGAAAGCCAGTAAGAAAAATTCTGCAGGACCAAAGCGTCCAGCCAGTGCATTCTTCGTTTTCATGTGAGAATTGTTTTAAATTCACGTTTTCTCCTCTGATATTATGGAAATTGAGAACAATGTTCTAGTTTTTTAATCTGGATGTTTGAATTTTGTGCTGTGATAGGGAGGATTTCAGGAAAAGTTACAAGGAGAATTTCCCTGATAACAAATCTGTTGCTGCTGTAAGATTCCTATACATTGATTCACATTTCCTGATCCTAATTTTAGTACTACTGAAAGCACAATTGATGAATTAAAATTCTAATTTAAACATCTTTTGTTTCTAAAATTACTTGAATATTTCTATCGGATTTGTAATTTTTTTGTGTAATTTTTATAGGTTACCAAAGCTGGTGGTGAGAAATGGAAGTCAATGCCTGATTCTGTAAGATCTTCCAATTTCATTCACAATGCAGCCCCCGAAACTGCATTAATTCTCTCATCATTTTCACATAATTCCCTTTTCCTTGTTGATTTATTCTATTAAATTGTGTTTGTCGATTTTTAATATTGGTTTATTTATGCTTTGTGGATTAGGAGAAAGCTCCTTATGTGGCAAAGGCTGGCAAGAGAAAAGAAGAATATGAGATAGCACTTGCAGCATTCAACAAAAATCTGGTAATACCTTTTCATCTGCATATATGGTGAAGGTTTTGAAGTTTGTTTTTCCAACCATTTATCAAATAATACTTAAAAATTTCAAAAACGTTCTAAGGGGGAAGCAAAAATCCCAGCTGAATCTGAGAAGTCATCTGGTGAGGTCCATGATGTCGCTGAGGACGAAGCTAGCTCTTAGGTAATGTGCTTTTTCATACAGATATATGTTATTGTAGATTCCTTTGTGTAATGCAGTCATATTTGAATTGCCATTTAGTGATTAGCAGCTTGCAATTTAACACTAATACCTCAATTTATTTCCTACTAAGACTCTCATTAATTTTTGAAACTCTCTGAGTGTATTAAGCATGTTACACTTTCTAACACTGTATAGTTAATTATGCTGTGCAATAAAATTGGGATGGTAATTGAGTCAGTGAGTCGGAGTTTCCCCTGATTTTATGTGTTTTTGGTTGCAGGTGCACGTTTATGGGTTTGTCAGTTGACTACTGATAAATGGACTTAGATAAATAGTCTTCATTAGTTGTTGAAAGTATATAAATGGGACGATGCTATGAAAATCTAGTCGTTTTAGTAGCTGTATCTAATGAACTTCCAATAAGAGATTGTACTTAGTTTTGTTTTGTGTTGAAGACCGCAATTACTATCACATATTATGGGCAGAATTTGCTGACCTTTTTTTTTTTTCCTTGCTGTACTTTGTTGAAGATGCAATTACTATCACATATCATATGCCATTGAATTTGCACTGATTAAACCATATTTCACTTCCCTCCTTTTTTACTTGTTTAATAGATGAGGCAAGCTGGATGAATTCATTTTAATAATGTTAGATAATAAAGATAGAAAAAGAAATTTAATCTTTTGCCCTTTGCTCCCTAGTTTTATCTTACATTTTTGTTTAATTGTGTTCTTACATATCTTTAACTAAAAAAGATAAGAATAAATAAATCACAAATATTGTAAAGTAGCAAATTTGCCTAAATTTATAAGCACCATTTTATTACTTATTTCTGCTAGAAGATAACTAGCCATGCTCTGAGGGAGGGAAGTATTAGAGTTAGCCAATGGATTGCGGGTAAGATTAGTCGAGTGCAATGCTTTCAAATTTGTCAGCCCTTGAGTTCGGTTTTTAGTTTAGCGACAAAATTTTGTGATTTTAGCATTTCTTTGAGGTAGACTATGGATAGATCTAAACTATACAAGCTTGTTAGGTCTCTTTTAAATTTGAATTAAGCCAAACGAATATAGGCTTTGACACAATATGTGACATAGCACTCACAATTAAGGTGTGGGTCACCATGAATAAAATAATTCCGATCTCTCCCATTTGTGTGCGCTATATCAATCGAAGTGTCATCCTCTATGGCTATGTAGCACAGTACTCCAAATTTTCTTACAAATAAAGTTTATTGATGTTAAATGTTCAAAATTGACAGAAAACTTTCCAGGCAATTGGACGTGCATGCTGCATGCATGGAAATGATTCAATGAACCCAAAGAAAGGTAATTATCTCAAATGAAAAAAATCCCTAAATTAAAAAAAAAAAATTAAATTTCAAAAAAAAAAAAAAATTCCCCCCAATATTTTTAACAAATTACTTGGTCAAAGGCTATTATGGAAAACATACCGGGTGGGGCAGCCATTGCCCACCATTTCCTCCATTACTACACCTATGACCTACCAAGTAGCGTAGAGTTTTCAAATCGGGTAGAGCCTCCAGCCTTTGAGACGGTTTGTGCGTAATTTTGCCTGCAATAGGCCTGTCATTCAATCCATCATGCAATCCATGTGAACCATGCATATGGGCCTTCTTATTCTAATTTTCGACTAGTTTAACTCGAATTTACTTACTAGAAAATTACATAACTACGATAGTTTAATACAATTTCAAAATTAATAAATTTATCAAAAATTTTTTTATTTATTTTTTATTTTTTAAATCAAGTGTTATGTGAATGTAATTAGGTGACATGCAATTGTGACATATTCTGATAAATGATTGTGTCCGAGTCCTACAAATTGTGATATAATCTACATGTGTTACCATCTAATTTAATTTTTTTTTTCAAGAGTTAATGCATAATTGATAAAGGGAAAAGTTGTTCGTTCGAAACAGGCCAAAGGGGTGTAGCACCCCTTATGGACAGGCGCGCTACATCGCCCCCCTATTTGAACAGGGCCAATGTGGCCATGTTCATCTAGCAAAATTTTTAATAAAATTACAACTTAAAATTTTAGGTAATTTTCTCTTTACTTATTTGACAACCCCAAAATTGAGCAGTCTAACTATCCTTTCTCAAGAATTTCCGTATTTCACTCTTTAAATTGGCTTTTACCATTTTTTCAATAATGTTAAAGAAATAAAATAGATCAAAATTAAAATAAGTAAAAAGTAATGTCAATCTTACGTCATCAACCATGATCTCGAAAAATAATATACATATTCTATGAAAAAAATTCACTTTTTAAAACAAGAACATTATATACAATTTATCAACCTTCTCTCCACAACTTTTGTGGATAAAAAGTTGAAAATCCATTTGAGTTGTCCCTATCATATTAATTAATTTAATACTTAAGTCCCAATGAAGAAACATAAATCACACACTATATGGGATTATACACACAATTCATTCAAAGCCTAGAGATGATGAAATGTTGACTTTTATATCTACAATATTTTACACTAGTCAAATATTTATTTACACATGAACACCAAAGTTTGTGACAAACTGTGGACATGGAGATTCCACACGTTTCACCCCATTCCAACAACACACACATACATACAGATGAAATTGAATGGGCCCCACTGTAAAACAGAAGCATCTAACAACGTGTTTTGCCATTCATTCGAAGGGGAAATTGTAGCATTAGTTATTAACGTATTGGTTTAGTAGTTGTTAGTCCTCAATCTATTCTTATTGGCATTTGAGTCTCCAACCTATAATTTTATTGAACTCTGGTCCTCAGTTGATGAAATCATCAAAATGCTGTGTAATACACACACCTCACAATAATTCGAGTCGTTCAAGCCTAGACGACCCATCCTTTTGAAAAATTAGATCATACTAATCCTGGCCCAATTCAAGTTGGTCTACACTACAATGAACAATTCCAGTTAGATGATCCATTAGGACCGATTCAATTCGATTGGTTTATTAGAAGAATTAAAAACCATTAGTGAAATAAAATATTTATTGAGTTATTATTTAATTCCTGACATAGCGTGTCTTTCTCTCTATATTCTTATCACATTTTGTGTTTTCTAAATTTTTTTCATAATATCTCATTTCTCACACTATATTATTTATTTCTAATTAGGGCTTAGTTCAAATTGTGTTTCATATTCAAAAAATGAAAAGGAACTGATAAATCACACAATGGATAATTATCTAAATATGTAACAGCATATAAGGATTTAGACTATTTCTCTTAAAAAGATTGACATTATAAGATAGAATTTCGATTTTTAATATAGTATCAGAACCCATTAAGTTTAAACGAGTAATTTGATCCAATTAAAACAAAAAAAATAAATAAAATGAGTACGTGAATTTCAAGAATAGTCTGGTCAAATAAATCACCATTTTGCGAGAGTATGTTAAGGGATAAATTTTATATCGAATAATTATCAAAATATAAACTAACATATAAGGGTTTGTATTATTTCACTTAAAAAAATTGACCATGTAAGATGAAATCTCAAGTCTTAGTACACTAAGGAATGGGTCGGATGCAATTAGGGATGGGCAATAAAAGTGGAAGTTACATAACCCCAAGTGTTTAAAGATTACAATTCAAAAATCAGGGGTGACATTTTGTTATTCACAAATCAGGTATCAAAATACACCTCACCCACCCATCTAACAAAACCCTAATTCATTTCCATAAGTCTCTCTCTCCTACCCCTCTTCTCTATAAATCTATTCCTTCTTTCTCTTATTTTTTTCTCCCTTCTCTTTCTTCGAACCTTTCTTTGGACATCGGTGATCGACGATGAAATATTTGCACCGACCGACGATGAAGGATTTGCCCCCAACGAGTTCTCAGCAACATCATTGGGCGACGTTGCTATGAACAGTAGCATCACGACACTGTAGTCTATTGACGCTGTCGTTTGTAGCTGCATCGCATCACCTTTGAGTGCCACTACGAGGCCTCACTTGATGTGAGAGTCAAGCACTGACATCTTCGCAGCTGAGCGACACCTTTACACAACCGACAAAGTGAGCACCGACAGCAATATCGCCTTCGTCCATGCTGCAGCTTGATAGGGGCTCTATGAAAACCTGCTACTTTTGATATCTCAACTATCTAAACCAGTTTTCGGTATTTTTGGGGTGGCTTGGGGGATAATAGACAGTGTGGTGCCGAGAAGGTAAGATGGTAGTACTACAGGTGTTGTTGGATATGGTGGTGGTGGTGAGGTGGTGGTGGTGCGATGGTAGTGGTGCAAGTTGTTGTTAGTGGGTTGTAAAATGGTGGTGGCGATGGTGGTGGAGGCAATGGCGATGGCGACAGTGGTGGTGGTGTGTTTTTGTTGGAGTGGGTTGGCATATGTGACCTATTAAATAGTTAATGTGTGAGTGAAGGTGGTTATTCGCAGCTGAAGATCTGATAGTGGTGGTAGTTTTTGTTAGTGGTGGTGTAATAGTGTTGGTGCTGTTGTGATGGTGGTGGGTGAGGGCAGTTGCAAGTGGCCGTAGTGGCAGTGGCGATGATATGTCATCCACTATTTGGTGTATCTGACTAATTATTTGGTTATTTGTGATCAATTATTCATTGGTGACATAAAAATTTGACAATATGTGACTAAAAAATAATTTGTGATCAACTAATTTGAAAATTTGTGACCGACAAATAAATTGTGCCCTATGATGTTTTTGATTTGTGACGGATGAAATAATCCGCGTCCAATTAATTTGATAATATGTGATGTTGTGACCTATAAGTAGACCTATGTGACATCGAATTTTATGGTTGTGGCCTTAATATATTTATTTAATAAAATATAATTATTAATTAATTAATACCTTATTTTTGAATTTTGAAACTTAAAACATGAAAATTGAATTGTCCACACTTAATATATGACTTGTGAATTTTTCCCAAAAAATTCGAAAAATCAACCAAACCAAATCGAGTCGGGGTAATTTGGGTTGGTTTGAATAAAAAAGTGGTTTCATTTGGTTAATTTAAACCAATAAAAAGTCAAGTCGGATTGGTTGCAAGCAACCTGTCAATTAACCGATCCAACTTGTTGACACTTTTTTTTTTTAAATTCATATTTTTAACTTAAAAAGTAAAATAATAATAACATAAATATAATTATTTTCCAAATAATTTGTTTATCGTCTCCGCTTTTTGCCAAAACTTCAAATTCCAAAATAGGAAAAAAAAAAGAAGCAAGGAGAAAAATTATTTATTGTAAACTCTAAGTTCAGATTGTAACTTTGCTTTTTATTTTGATGTAACTATGATATGATTTCACTTAGGTTATATATGATTGCAAGCATGAAATTTGTATCAAAAGAAAATAAATTTTAAGCAATTTAATTGCTTAGAACTTATTTGCATGAAATTTGTCAATTAAATGTATTTGATTAATTTTATTTTTAACCTAGTAAATACTATACTCGTCCCTTTCTTTATTGTGGGTAGATGAGAAAGAGAAAGAGAGAGTGAATTCTCAGGAAAATAAAATTATACTTCCTCTAAAGAAAATATTTTCATTGTTTTGAGAAAAATCTGATCACGTGACCAAAAATAGAAAAATATTTTCCATAGAAAAAAATGTCAATCAAACAATATAAAAGTAAGACTTTGAGTGGAAAATATATATTTTCCATAAAAAATATTGACAATTACATGCACCCTTAGAAAAAAACAAATAAGAAGGAAAGAAAGAAGACAAGTTGCGGCCACCTCCATGATCACAAGATTCACAACCAATTGCCATTTGTAGCTATTACCTATTACCCTTGACCACCAACCCATACTGTTAATTTAATACTTGTTTGAACCCCATTTTAAAGAGAGAATGTGTTTTTGAATAGTGAGTTTTTTGAGAATGTGTAATTAGAAAGTAAGAAAAAGTTTTCAATTTACGTGAATAATTATTTTATTGAAAAATATATGATTGAAAATAAGTTTTGAAAAAATGATTTTTTAAAAAAAAAAAATTGAACTCAAGCAAGGGCTTAGTTGTGAGCGACTTTAATGTCCCAAAACCAACGCACCATATTTTGTTTTTGAATTCTTCCTCCCACAAATATACAAACCATCGCATCATCTTCTTGTCCAAATCACTCGAACAATTTAATTATAGAAACCAAAAAAAAATTAAATTAAATTACTTTTTTTTCCAAAGTAAATCAATTCAATTTAATGGATAATTAGAACAAAATGTTCCCAACGTTTACATTGATTGTGCAAATCGTCCCAATCATTTTAAACTTAACATTTGCTCTCTTATTTCAACAGTTTTTTTTGAGCATTTGGTTATTTCTGTTTTATGCCATCAAATATCGATAATTGGTAAAAATGAAAATACAATAGAATACGAAATTTGATTACTAAAAAGTAGTTAAATCTCTCTATGATGCTGCAGGGCGATGGGGAGAATGGATGGTGGTGGCGGCAACCGATGATAGGGTGCAAAATTAGATAGGAAAGAAGAAGATTTTATTTTTTATTTTTGGTTTTTAATTATTTTATTATATTTTTAATTCTCTTTTTAACTATTTTGGTGATTATGGTGCATGGTAAGAGATGGGAGTAGGGGTAGGTGTTGTTAATTTGAAAGATTGAAATTCTTTCCTGTTGTTAATATGTTTTAAATTGTTTTACAGGAGATTCATTTGTACTTTTTAATTATGTGGAACTCTAGTTGTAATTTTTTTAATATCATTTCATTTTTATTTGTTCTAAAGATGAGGGTAAATTAGTTATTTTTAATTGGAGAAAATAGATGAAATGACATTTTTCGTAAAGAAATGTCGATACGAAGACCCAAATGTTAAAATTAAAATGATAGAAACGATTTAAGCAATAAAGGCAATCGATAGTGACGTTTTGCATTAGTTACATATATTTGATCAGAGACGGATATAGGGGGG